GGGTTAAAGAAATTAGTATTCTTTAAAAAGTGGTGCTGCAGAAATTAAAGTCTGTGTGATGGTTTTATGAATAATCCCTAGATGTGTAAGGAGTTTCTTTGGATGTTATGGATGCACACTATTGCTCTGAGAGCCTTCAGTCTTTGTCTCTATTCTATCAATCCTTATCTGTGTTGGCACAATGTCTTCCTGAGGATCAGGGTATGCGGGTCATTCAGCCATTGGCTTCTTTTCTTGTGAAAGTCAGTCTCTCCTTCTTCTTCAAATGATGCCATTTGGATAAGGTGCAATCTCAGTTGGAGCCTCACAAGCACAGTGCCCTTGATTTACTAGTCACTGAGCCACTCATGAGTGTCCTTTTCTAATATGGCAGATTGTGAACCCTAAAACATTGAGTGAAAGTGCATGATTGGAACATTTTTCTTTCTGTTGTGCTTATTCATGGTCCTACACTGTAACTCTTGACATTAGCCACTGGGAAAGAGAGGGAAGATACGTTCGCAGACTACAGCCCATCTGAAGCTTGTATAGGTTCAGATTGTTTGGCACCAGTGTTGAATTGCAGCTCAATAGGGCTAAATGAAAATCTTCATTCTTTCCAAAAAGACTTTTATGGTATGTACGTTCTGCGGGGGAGAGGTTGGAGCCCGACCAGTCCCCCTCCACTGACACCCTCATCCGCTTAGCCGAACTCGTCCTCACACTCAACAACTTCTCTTTCAATTCCTCCCACTTCCTACAGACAAAGGGGGTAGCCATGGGTACCCGCATGGGCCCAAGCTACGCCTGCCTCTTTGTAGGTTACGTGGAACAATCCCTCTTCCGTACCTACACCGGCCCTAAACCCCACCTCTTCCTCCGTTACATTGATGACTGTATCGGCGCCGCCTCGTGCTCCCACGAGGAGCTCGAACAGTTCATACACTTCACTAACACCTTCCACCCCAACCTTAAATTTACCTGGACCATCTCTAACACCTCTCTCCCCTTCCTGGACCTCTCTGTCTCCATATCGGGCAACCACCTCGAAACCGATATTCATTTCAAGCCCACCGACTCCCACAGCTACCTAGAATACTCCTCCTCCCACCCACCTTCCTGCAAAAATGCTATCCCCTATTCCCAATTCCTTCGCCTCTGCCGCATCTGCTCCCAGGATGAGGCATTCCACTCCCGTACATCTCAGTTGTCCTCGTTTTTCAAGGACCGTAACTTCCCCTCCTCGGTGGTCGAGAACGCCCTCAACCGTGTCTCCCACATCTCCCGCACCTCATCCCTCACACCCCGTCCACGCAGTAAAAACCAAAAAAGAATCCCCCTCGTCCTCACGTACCACCCCACCAACCTCCGGATCCAACGCATCATCCTCCGACACTTCCGCCATCTGCAATCCGACCCCACCACCAAAGACATCTTTCCCTCCCCACCTTTATCTGCTTTCCGGAGGGACAACTCTCTCCGTGACTCCCTTGTCCGCTCCACACTCCCCTCCAGCTCCACCACACCCGGCACTTTTCCCTGCAACCGCAGGAAGTGCTACACCTGCCCTCATACCTCCTCCCTCACCCCCATCCCAGGCCCCAAGAAGACTTTCCACATCAAGCAGATGTTCACCTGCACATCTGCCAATGTGGTATACTGCATCCGCTGTACCCGGTGTGGCTTCCTCTACATCGGGGAAACCAAGCGGAGACTCGGGGACCGCTTTGCAGAACACCTACGCTCGGTTCGCAACAAACAACTGCACCTCCCAGTCGCGAACCATTTCAACTCCCCCTCCCATTCCTCAGACGACATGTCCATCCTGGGCCTCCTGCAGTGCCACAACGATGCCACCCGAAGGTTGCAGGAACAGCAACTCATATTCCGCTTGGGAACCCTGCAGCCCAATGGTATCAATGTGGATTTCACAAGTTTCAAAATCTCCCCTCCCCCCACCGCATCCCAAAACCAGTCCAACTCGTCCCTGCCTCCCTAACCTGTTCTTCCTCCCACCTATCCCCTCCTCCCACCCCAAGCCGCACCTCCATCTCCTACCGACCAACCTCATCCCGCCCCCTTGACCTGTCCGTCCTCCCTGGACTGACCTATCCCCTTCCTAACTCCCTACCTACACTCACCTTTCCTGGCCCCATCCCCGCCTCTTCGACCTGTTTGTTTCCTCTCCACCTATCCTCTCCTCTATCCCTCTTCTATCCGCCTCCCACTCTCTCCCTATTTATTTCAAAACCCCCTTCCCCTCCCCCTTTTCTGATGAAGGGTCTAGGCCCGAAACGTCAGCCTCTCTGCTCCTATGATGCTGCTTGGCCTGCTGTGTTCATCCAGCCCTGCACCTTGTTGTCTCGGATTCTCCAGCATCTGCAGTTCCTACTATCTCTGATCCAATACAGATTCCTCTGGTTCTCGAATTGCTGAGTAAAACCAATAGCCTCTCAGAATTAGAGGAGGCTCGGGGCGGTAATATTCCTTAAATAAATCCGTCAATTCTTGAAATGTCTTAGTATCTGGTGCCTCAGGGAAAGTTAGGCTCGTAATAACTGAAAAAGCTACGGGTCCACAAGCTGTCAGGAGAATTGCTCATTGCTTTTCATTTGCCCCAATGTCATTTGTCCAGAAAACAAAACATTTTCTTTTCACATCCTGGGCCCAATCTTTGATGCCAAGATCAAACGCGTCAAGCTTCCCAAATAACGGCATGATGCCAGAAGTGCTTACCTCAACTCAAAGATGACTGTTGTGAGCAAATTTCTTCAGGACTGTGCTTTTCTCTTGTCACCAGTGAAATAATTTCACAGAGGCCAGTATCCCATCACCCAGTCATCCTTTATTTACACATGGTGAGTTCTTGACACTGACCCAGCTCCCTCAGAGCCAGCTCTCAGAGCGAACAGGATCTCTGATACTCTGTTCTTATCTGTGAGCCAGGGATCTCTGATTGAACTAGATTAACAGCCCCAATCAGGGAACTCATATTTTATGAGGTCCACCTGGCTGACCTTGTTACAATCACTACAAATGGAAATTTTCACCATTTTATGATAGAGAATTGAAACAGATGTCTTGTACCTAAATTGTTAAGATTTTGAATTATGATCACTGGCCTTCCTCTGCTTAAGTCACTTTGAGATATGCTGAGAATCATTTTCACAGGTAATCCTAGCTCATGTGCATGACCATTACTGAATTGGAGCTTTGTAACAATGGTCACCTTCGACAGCTTTACTAGAAAACTGATGGAGGAAATCATTTGCCTGATTTTCAAATTCACTCATGTGAAAAGGTAAATCATCCCTCAGGGTATTTCATTAGAGTACAGTTTGGCTCACCCAGTTTATTGGACCATTGTCAGGAGTAGAAATGCAATTTGAAATGGTTTCCTTTCTTCTGTTAAGATTCACGGAATCCAAAAGTACCACCACCATTGCAGTGCCAGCTAAAATTAAAGTTCAAGTTGAAAACTCAAGACTGAGTGTCACACTAAATAATATTAAATAGATGCTATTTTGATCTACAATACATTGAAACTAAAAGATAGCAATGTACCACCTGGTGCAACTGGATGTTTATCAAATCACACTGAGGAAATATTATTTTCAGCTTCAAACAACTGTTTTCATTGAGCTTTAAAAACGATAGCTCACCAACCATACCTGTCATGAGCTATTCGATCCAATAGTGGTTCAAGCCAGCCAATGTGGCATTCGCAATGTGAGTCCATGAAAATCAAGACATCCCCTGTTGCCCGCGCTGCACCAAGTAAGCGAGCTCCAATTACCCCCAATCTCTTATTGCTTCGAATCAACTTCACACCATCCAGCTTGGATACATACTCACTCAAAGCTGCCTTCAAATGTCCTATGAAAAGAAGAATTAATCATAATTCCACACAAAATTAGCAATAAAATCCCTAAATCTACAAGGCGTCATCATTTCTAAACACAAATGAGATTTTGTGCTCTCAATAAATGTCACGCAGAATGTTATTTATACTCACTTGTAATGGGAATGTTTCATTAACCATAGGTAATCCACATGAATAACGTACACAGATTGAAGTCACAATTGTGTTTGGAACATTTGGCAGCAACAAATGTGAAAAGCCTCTCATTCACAGAAATTAATTTCTTCCCGAGTGTATATGATCTGCTTTGTTACGAATTTTACCCGACCAGTGTTAGCAGTCAGATGCCTTTTTGCAACAAGGAAGGGAAACTGGAGGCAGCATCTTCCCTGGGCTGCTCTTTGCAGCTCCTATCAGTTGGCTGAGTTGTGGTATTAGCGGAAGCTGAGAATGCGATAGCTCATTATGTCAACCCAAGCAGAACAATAAAAACAGAGCAAATAAATTGAAGGGTAATGTATTGTCTAGAAACTAAAAGTAATTTTCCAAAGATAGAACAATGAAAGGCACAGTTTGGGCAAAAGATTCCTATGCTTGCTGCTACTCGTATTGCACAGTGATTCAAGCAACTTCATCTTTCAATTACAACACCCTACATGCCACAATTATTTACAACATATATTAATGACTTGGATGAGGAAAGTGAATGTATTATAACCAAGGTTGCAGATGACACAAAAATAGATACAATGGCAAGTAGAGAAGATGACACAAAGAGTCTACAGAAGACTATAGACAGAAACATAGAAGATAGGAGCAGGAGGAGGCCATTTGGCCCTTCAAGCCTGCTCCACCATTCATCACAATCATGGCTGATCGTCCAACTCAATAGCCTGACCCTGCTTTCTCCCCATAACCTTTGATCCCATTTGCCCCAAATGCTATATCTAGCCACCTCTTGAATACATTCAATGTTTTGGCATCAACTACTTCCTATGGTAATGAATTCCAGAGGCTCAGCACTCTTTGGGTGAAGACATGTCTCCACATCTCCGTCCTAAATGGTCTACCCCAAATCCTCATGCTGTGACCTCTGGTTCTGGACACACCCACCGTCGGGAACGTCCTCCCTGCATGTACCCTGTCTAGTCCTGTCAGAATTTTATACGTCTGTATGAGATACACCTCCTTCATCTAAACTCCAGCGAAAACATTCTTAACCTAGTCAATCTCTCCTCGTATGTCAGTCCCGCCATCCCTGGAATCAGCCTGGAATCCTCTCTTCACTGAGATTAGGCAAAAGAGCAAAGACTTGGTAGATTTAATATAATGTGGGAAAACGTGAGGTTATGCACTTTAGGAGGAAGAATAGAAAAGATCAATGTTACTTATATTGCGGCAGCGAGGGATTTTGGAGTCCTCATGCTTAAATCACAAAAAAACCTAACATGCCATGTCAGCAAGTAATAGGGAAGGCAAATTGTCTTTATTTTGAAGGTAATAAATTATAAAAATAAGGAAACCTTGCTAAAACAATACTAGGCACTGCTTGGACCACACCTAGAATCCTGTGAACAGTTTTGGTCCTTTTATCTATATTGGCAATGGAAGCAGTCCAAACAGGCTTCACTAGGTTGATCCCAGGTATGGAGGGACTTTCTTATAAGGAGAAATTGAGTGGGTCTGTACAAATTGAAGTTTAGAAGAATGAGAGGTGACTTTATTGAATAAAATAAGATTCTTGGGCGGGGGGAAGGAAGCTTAGCACGGTAGATACTGAGAAATTGTTTCCCTTTGTGGGAGACTCTACGACCAGGAAGTATAATCTCAGAGTAAGGGGTCACCCAGTTAGTACAGAGATGAGAACAGGTTAGAGGTTAGTAAATCTGAGAAATTGTCTATTGCAGAGCGCTATAGAGGCTGTATCATTGGGTCTATTCAAGGCTGAGGTTATCAGGGAATCACGGGTCAAAAACAGAAATTGCTGGAAAAGCTCAGCAGGTCTGGCAGCATCTGTAAAGAGAAATCAGAGTTAACATTTTGGATCCGGTGACCCTTCCCAGGTTGTGAGGAAGGGTCACCGGACTCAAAACACTAACTCTGATTTCTCTTCACAGATGCTGCCAGATGCTGAGCTTTTCCAGCAATTTCTGCTTTTGTTTCTGACTTACAGCATCTGCAGTTCTTTTGGTTTTTATAGAGAATCAAGGGCAATTGAGAAAAGGCAGGAAAGTGGAGCTGAGGACTATCCAATCGGTCACCATCTCATTGAATCACAGTGCAGATGAGATGGTCGAATGGCCTACTTCTGCTCCAACATCTTATGGTCATTTCTAAATCTCATTTTAACTAATGCAATAGTTTCAAACAAAATAATGGCTAACACAATTCCATGCAACTGGGCTGGTCACAGGAATACAATGTTTAAATTGGCACTTGTCTAGAATGTATTTGTGCTTAATGTTCACATATAATGGGATGTTTAATTTGGATTCTGTGTAACATTAACAAAGCTTTCAAGAAATTAGTTGAACATGAATTCAGTATATATCATAATATTTTTGTCTTATTTTCTTTTATAATTAGCAAATAAGTATAAAATAAATAATACTTGTACTTATGTGGGACATTCCATGTTGAAATATGTTATGAGACTTACAGGACAATGTGAGAAGCGAGTGCAGTGCCTGCAGCTAAGAAAGCAAATGTGGCAAACATTCAGTGCCAACAACATCAGGAGAACAGAGAAATAAATTACCAAAAGAAAATAACACATTTATCTGAAATAAATGGTGAAAACTCACAATTGGTCAGGCAGTATCTGTGGAGAGAGAAACAAGGTCTGATGAAAAATCATTGATCTGAAATGTTGGACTCCATTTTTAACTCTGTGCAAGTAGACATGCTTTGAGTGAGTTAAAATCTCACCCATTAACACTGTTCCTCATTCCCAGGTCCTGCCTAACCAAATAAATTATCAATTGTTCTTTGCTAATATTGGTTAAAGACTGTGGCCAGAATGGCAAGAGTCTTCGAATAATGCAAAGTGTGTTTAAATGGTCAGCAAAACTGGGAAAATGTTAATGGTTGGATGTTGCCTGGTCAGTTTTACTCTATTTTTATTGTAGACAAAGATACTGACTGTTAAGATCCTGTCAAAAGTATATTGTGTAAGCAGGACAGTGCATAACGATATTAGAGAGTTATTTAAAGGTATAATGTGTGAATTGTTGATTTTGGTACCAATAAAAAATACAGAGAGACTCCCCTAAACAAATTAGGTGATTAGGCACTGTGGAAAAATGACTGAATACATGATGATGTTCATGATTGATTGATTGATTCATGATTCCAATTGATGGAATTCTTGCAATTGAAGCAAACAAAATAGAGGAGATTTCATGCTGACATCCAAATATTGTATGTTTTATTAATTCATCTTTAAGGGACTTACAGAATGAGTGTTTTATTAAAATAGACATATTTTAAAGCAAGCTCTGTTGATTCCCAGATTTTCTGTCTGTGTGTGAGAGTTAAATTACAAGTGATTTAATTGTGCATATAACTACAATGCATAGGACTTCCACAGTGTATGTACATCTGACTTACGAATGCTGCACATAGGAACGTGCTCCCATTCATGGGTGTAATTTTAAAGACTCAACAAATAAACATTTCCTGTACTTAAGAACAGCTGCTTTACATTGTCCTGCATTGTGTTCCAAATGGTATTAACTCCAGAACAGAACCCATTTCCAATGTAGGGACTGCCTGTATGAATTTGTACATTGTTGAGTAGTTCAATTTTTTTTAGTTGCATCCTATTAAAATTTGACCTTGATTTCAATTTGTAAAATGGACTGAAGATTTATGGGAGAAGTAATGAACTGAGATCTCCTGAACTACATATAAATAATTTGTGCTTGATTGATGAATATTTCCACGTACCCTTGCTTTTATATAGCCAGTTAGATGCTGAATAATAAAGGGTGTTTCCAGTCACAATAAATCACTTAGGAATGAGAAAAGGATGGAAAAAAAAAACAGGAACGCATTTTTGTTTTGTCCTTAAAGTATGTGATAAAAACTTAGCTTATATTATTTGAAATACATGTAATGAAATAATCATCCACGAAGCAGAGTGTAGTCCTGGTCTCCTAATGACCATTCTTGTAGGCATCCAGCCCTTGAAATGAAGTACGAACCTGGGAGTTCTCAAGGATATAAGCATCATGACAGTTCATTGGTACATGGTATAGACTAACAAGATGTGATACTGATGATCACATATCACTTGTACATTAATGAAATGGGTCCCTTTTCTACTGATGAAGTCAGCTGTAATATGATATGATGCTGTCAATCTGGTGTAGGAACAGTCTCTAGTTTCCTGCAGCCCTAGGGAAAGCCAGCTATTCTGACAAAGCCTACTGCCTGGGCTGCAGCACTTTCCTCATCACGGGGAAACAAGATGAACCCCAATGCAATGGGGAACAAACTGCATCCACAACAAACGGGATGTATTTTTGGATCGAGGGCTGCAAGATCCCACACAGTTCCCCAACGGATCAATAGAAGCAGCCAGTAGTATAAAGGTTTAATCCAGCTGTCACTGGGATAGGACGGTCACAGGACTTCCTCCAGCATAGTTCTGTGATGGTGTCCTAGGAGATCTGCAACACTGAGCCTTGGTCTTCTCAAGGAAATAGCATCATGGATGATAGTCTCTGGGCCTCCTGTAACTCTTGCATCTTGAGGGGACCTTCAATTATGACTTTTTCATGTGGAGATTGTTTGGCAGCTACTGGATGTTCTTATTGGCCCCGGGCTTGCTTGCTGCTCTGACTGTATTTCTCGTGCTGTAACCACAGCAGCAATGACTCCTACTGTGGCTTGATCTATTGGTCACAGTTCAAATGGTCCTACATGGAGAACATCAGAAATACAGCAGGTTCTTAGTACTGTGAGCAGTCAGTATTCGCATCACTCGCAAATGATGGTTTAGCATAGTCGTACTTACAGTGGACCCTGGAGGACTCCAACAAGGAGGGGTATGGAAGACCTTTGACACAGAGGATCTTATTCTGATGAAAGCTGTACAAGCAGTACACTATGATACTTTATGCCCTCACCACCATTCCCCGCATAACCATTCCCAGCATTGTCAATAAGAGCCTACTGGCGAATACTTACATTTCAAGGTGAGAGGAGATCAGCTCTATGCCCCTGTGAAGCCCACAAGGTCCTCAAATGTCTTTGTGAATAGTAGCCCACAGTTACCACTTTTAATATCACCTGTGATCATTTCTGTTTCACAGAGACGACTATTACTCTGCCCACTTTGGGTATGTTCTCTGCCATTTTCCAATTCCTGTACACATTTATGAGTTAAATGAATATGGAGGGGCAAAGGGAGCCACAGGTTCAGCATGACAATGAGCCCCCTGAACCTCCATGTTGTTTTCTTCCTTGCACTTCCTGACTGCCCATCAGCACTCAGCTTCCACAGAGCTGGATGCATTTTCAAATTCTAAAAGGCATCAATGGATATTGTGAGATAGCAGGAATATGGTATTGAGATAGAGGATCAGCCATGATCATATTGAATGTTGGAGCAGGCTAGAAAGGCTGAATGGCCCACTCCTGCTCCTGGTTTCAATGTTTCTATGTTCCTACGTATCTCTTTCATTTACATCTTCATCTCCCAACATTACCCTGAGTCCCAGCCCTCCAACTCAGTTGGACTATATGTTCTTTCAAGTCTGACAGTTAGACACACCATTATTCTGCCATTCGCACATTCCAATCGCTTAATCTGAACTATAAACATCCTTTCTCTCCCACCACTCAACACCCCACACCAATCCCCAACTATAGCATAAATGCTGCTCCCTCCGCACTTCACTTCAGCTCTGAAGAGGAGTCATCTACACTTGAAACGTTAGCTTGCTCTCTCTCCGTGGACGCTGCCTGACCTGCTGTGATCTCCAACATTTATTGTTCTCAGTTCATGCCAACTACTTTGCTGCACAGTCCCCCCCATTAAAGCTATGGTGGTTGTGACCATAAATGACACCCCCCATCCTACCACTATGTGCGGTAACCCATGTCCATCAATGCTCTATCATCTCCCAACTTTGTGTACTAAGTTGCTCTCTTTACAATTATGTCCCCCTGCTTCTCCAAAATCTGTCTTCAATCCCCACTATTGACTTCTCCAATTTCCCCACCTAACAAATGCCCCAAATAATTTCCCTTTGCCTGCCTCTACTTTCACTGAGCTGACCATTGGACTTGACTGACTTGAACAGATATCCCTGACTAATGAATGACCAGGCCCCAATTGATCTCTGTGCAGCTCCCTGATGGACTTACCACAAATCCCTGGACTAGTTGTACTGCACTTGTAGGACTGACCGTGGCCCAATACCTGGCGTGCAGTGATATGGAAGCCCTGACCCAGACCACCCCAAGCAGCTGACTGACCATGTAAAAGCCCCTGCACCAAGTCAGGACTCTACCTTTGACTTATTGCGCTAGTAAATACACACTGAAGACTGTCTCCCTTAACCTGACGATGACTACTCCCCATGGAACTTTGAGACATGGCCATTTGATTGAAGCACAAGCAGTGTGTTTGCCTCATAAGCTGCTGGCACATGTTGTAGGTGTGACATTAATGTAGCATGATGCCATACAGCAACATGTTTACCCACTGGATTGATCAATACTGACAACTATGACAAGATGCCTGGTTTTGTAACTGTGTTAAATAGCAAGGAATGGCAGAGATACTGGAAGCATTCAAATCGACAGAAAGTGAATGAGCATTAAGAGAGAAAGCTGGGGTCTAATCCCTGAGCTGGGTGCCTATCCCTGCCTGCAGATTGTCCAGGCAGCAACATTACAATGGAGGGTGCATGAGCACTCCAAGGTGCAATGTTGATGTGCAGATCTGTATTGAAAGTTGGTCTCCACCATTCAGATGGTTGACGTCAGTTGAACTGTGATCAATCTCATATAAAAGTAACAACTTTTTTAAAAAATAAAAGTCCAACAATGATGAAATACAAAGCATTGAAAAATTAAGCAGATTGGACCATTTTAGCAGTAAAATTCAACATTTTCTGGAGGCTGGACAAATAACTCCAAGAAGAGAGAAAGCACGTTCATGTATAGTAGAGAATGACGGGATACCATTTGGAAAGATTACGACTTTAAATTTGCTGTCCATGCCCCTGCCGAGTACAGTGATAATTGGATTGGAGCTCACATGGAGAAGTCTCTTCTTGAGTAGACGCTACTGACCGAGACAAATATATTTACTTTCCTCCTCTCTACTTTCAAATGAAATACCAGTTCTCTAGCCTCATTTCTCAATCAATAATAAATGCACACTTCTTCTCTCTCATATTTCATTATCTATTGAATTTTTCAATTAAAATATACCTTGGTTACTTAGGTCATCCACTAAGATGATTTCCTTGAGAAATTTCTTCGGGGCAGTGTCCATTACACTGTTTACTGTCCTCAGAAGAGTAGACCAGGCTTCATTGTGGAAACAAATGATGATGCTGGCAGTTGGCAGGTTTTGACTATATTCCTGCTGTAGGCATCTACAAACAAAGTAATAAGATAGACAACTCCATCCAATTATCCAGTAGACACAATTCAATGACTGGGTACTCATTTTCAGCTGTATGCAATTAGTAGCTATACATAGACCGATTGTTCTAGAATAATTAACACCATTGGCAGTGCATAAACCTAACTGTAAATTCCATTGACTATTGTCATCTTGCTTTGCAATTAAAATAATCTTTCTTTACCATAATTGGTCTTACTTTTACATTGCATACTACTTTATTTTTCCATTGTTTCCATTGGTAGGAGAGACTAGGATTCGAGGACAGAGCCTTTTCATAAAGTGAAGACCTTTCAGAACAGAGATAAGGAGAAACTTCTTCAGCCAGAGAGTGGTGAATCTATAGAATTCACTGCCTCAGAAGGCTGTGGAGGCCAGGTTATTGAGTATATTTATATTCTGGAGACAGATAGGTTCTTGATCGTCAAAGGGATCAAGGGTTACGGGGAGAAAGCGGGAGAATGGGGTTGAGAAACTTATCAGCCATGAATGAATGGTGGAGCAGACTCGATGGGCTGAATGGCCTAATTTCTGCTCCTATGTCTTATGGTCTTATTTTAATTTGTTTGGCATTTTCTCTTCTGACTGTGTTGGCTTCGACTCAGGCCGATATTCCTGGACATGTACACTATGCTGGGACATTCACTGCTTTGCAGGGTCACAATGGAGTCAGAAGTTCTGGGAAACCATGTTCAGTTGGAACTCTGAACTTCTAGCTCACTGGAAATGCTCAAGAGTCCACTGATGGTCCCACTGGGACCTGACAGTAGATAAACCTGAATCTTCTGAGCAGTGGCAATGTTGTGCGTGAAGATTATCCTGACACACACTTCTGTACAGTCCTTCTGGGATCTTTCAATCGCAGCTGTCAAAGAAATGTGCAGTGCTGTATTCCCCGGAAATTTCATTGGAGTAAAGTTGGAAAAGAAAGAAAACACCTACTCCTTATGTTGCCAGCTGTCATAGGCTGGTAAATTTAAAGGTCCAGTCTTTGATTGATTCTTAGTGGGGGGGAGGCATAAGGTGGGTGGGGGACTGTAAGTTCGGTGGAATAGGTCGGTGGAAAGGTGGGCAAAATGATGTGGAAAGTGGGTGGGGTATGGTAGATGACTATATGTGTTAACATGAGTGAGGTGGTGAAGCGAGTAGAAGGGTGAGAGAAGGAGGAGGGAATGAGGGCAATAAAGGAGCAAGATGGGTAGGTGGGTGCAGTTGTGAATAGATGGATGGGGAGGGAGGTGGATCACTGGATGAAACATTTGGTTGGTGGTGAGTTACTGATGGTTGGGGTGTAATGATGATGGGGGGTTTTTTGAAGGTCAGCAGATACAGTGATGGTCAGGGAAGGGGTGTTAATCAGATAGTTGGGAGACATTAGTCAATTTGCTGCTGAGTTAGTTGTGCAGTTATATCCAGCTGTTAAACTAGATATTAATCTGAGTAACATCTGCATAATTACCCATTTAAGCTCCATGGTATTTTTCTTGTAGCCAAATTTAGCTCAAGCAATTCCCACATGGATCCAAATGTCAGGAGCCACCTCCCGATCTGCGATGATCCAGAGACTGGGAACTCTCTTTTCCCATGGCCTCACTTCTTTTTTCTAAGATTTATCAGTTACTCCGAACACATGTAGAGACTAGTGGGACCTGGCTTTGAGACTATGAGGCCGGATTTCATAATCCTTTCACTGCCAGTGATACTAAAACCTCCTTAGATCCACACTCCCTGCTCAACCTCCGCTGAGGATGAAAGATGGGCTTAAGTAGAAATGGGGATATAGGGGTGAGCTGGGACAGCAGGCTCCCAGTATAGTAAAAGAGAAACATTAAACTGTCATTTAAAATGTAGACAGCAGTGTAAACCACAGGAAGATCAGGCTAGCCACTTAAATAAAATTAACAGCTGCGATTTTTCTCCACACTTCCACAAGTATTATTTTCTGTACAGTATTTCTTCTGAGCTTGGGTGTGCTTTAAATGATGAGGAGATTTTAAAATGAATGAAAATGATTCCACCTCTAATTTCCAGCATAATTCCATATATCAATTGCAAATCCTAAACAAAACCATGACACTTGCGCACTGATGGACAGGAGCAGTTTCACAATGAGTTTGGGGAGCCTTCTGACGAAAACATGCACACAGAAACTAAAACAGAAGTTGCTGGAAAAGCTCAGCAAGTCTGGCAGCATCTGTGAAGAAAAAAAATCAGAGTTAACATTTCAGGTCTGGTGACCCTTTCTCAGAACATAGAAAACTGACTGCTCCAACATGATTTACTTTTGACAAATACTATTTAATTCTGAAAATGATCACCATACGGCTAGTTTCACTGCAATGACTGAGACCATGAAGTGACATGATGTTATGAGGCTGTAGTCATTTTACATTGAATGTACTGCAGACTCCAGGACATCAAGAGAGGAAGAAGGCAGGTCTGATGGAGAGCAACCGTGTGCAAGCAGTGGACTGCATTTCATTGCTCTATTTGTTAAGGTTATATCTGTTAAGGTTATATCTGAATTACTGAAGTCACAGTGTGTGACTGATTCCGATTAAGTATCATGAAGATCCTGCAGCGTATCATTAACCTTTTAGTATCAAAGTAGTCAGGCTTTTGAAACGTTCAGTCTTTGGAAGGGAGTGTGATTAGATGGTTATGTTATCTGTTAGTCATGCCAAAACGATTGCTAGTTTCAGAAGAATGCTCAAAGTGTTTAAACAGAGAGGAGAATTCAGAGGAATGCTTTTCATTAAACTCATTTTCCCATTTTATAGAAGAAAATAGCCTAAGCAGGATATTGCTTTAACATTTTGATTCAAACTGTTTCGATTGCAAAGGGTCTCCGTCCTGTTAGCCGATTTTGGTGACACGACTAATTGGAGAAAGCTCTCCAGTGTCCTGGAGTGGTTCCAAAGCTTTACATTTGAGAGGGGGTGGGGTGGGTGTAAAGGCGGAGTATGGGGGAGGGGCTGGCAGTAGTCAGAAGCTCCTCACCTGAGAACTGTTAAGATACTAATTCAATGTAGTCATTTAATGGTTGACAGCTCCACCTTCCCCGGCCCATAGTGTGGTTCCCAAGTTGAACTGTTAGCAGTATTTAACACATGCTGCCCCATGCTACAAAAAATATTCCCCATAGAACCTCCCTCCCTTTTAATTCTTAAAACTGAAAGTACATATTTCTGACGCTTACCTATTTGACATGTCATTGTACCGACTACCCAGTGTTATGTTAATAGTTTATATAAGCATTCCCTTTAAGACTCAGTCTCTGAAAACTCTGGCATTCATAGAAAGATAAATCCCAGACTCTTCTTTTGGCATAATTTTAATCACCTCTCAATTGAAGTTCAAAGAAAACTAAACAACACTCAGCCAGTTATGAATTATGAAGTTATGAATAAATCAGCTCAACGTTAACTTAGGTAAACAGAGTTTAAAAGGGATATAAGAGTAGTAAGTATAAAATTAATGCAAATAACTCATCTTTATCAGAATTCAATCAGGATAAAACTTGTGTGATGGATGATATTGGAATGAAAAGCTAGACCCATGGTAAAACAATGTTTATGAAACAGTAAGAAATGTGACTAATGCCAAATATGTTTTTATTTGGAGTACAAATAATTTGGAATGTACTGCACATCATGTGGAAAATTCCAAATATATTATGAGATCACCCTGCAGCATCAGGAATGAAAAGAAATTTTATTGCCAGCGATTTGAATGGATCTCCTTTCAGGCATCCTCAAAACTGTATCAACACTTCGTTTGTTTTAGGCACAATCACACAAATTTGGGTTGAAAACTATTGACAATTAATATTCCCCAAATGATGTCAGTTTGACTTCCCGAGGAGACAGTGTAAGGGGTGAAGAACAGCAAGAGTGGGGAAGGAGACAGTGAGATTGGGGGATGGAGACTATGAGGGGACAAGGAAGACAGTGAGAGGAAAAGGTGACGGAGTGAGGGTAAAGGTAACCATGAGGGTTAGGAGGGTAGTGGGAGAGAAGGGTAACAGTATGAAGTGACAGTGGGAGTGGGGGGGGGGGG